GGAGCTGTGGAAAGGGTGAAGTGCAGGCAAACTCACCATCATGGAGAAGGCATCAATCTCTAGAATGGAGGGGTTCTCTGAGAATGGAGGGCTCTCCAGGAGAAATGCTGGGAGGGGTGAGATGGAGAAGGGGAGTTCCAGAGAAAAGATGGGGAAATAAAATACTGACACGTATCATAAAAATTTAAATTTCACGATTAGGAGTCATTTTTATTGCATGAATCTCAACGGTTTAAAAAAGAGTTCGTGATTAGGAGTCATCAAAAATTTTTTTTGCCCGAACCGTAAGTTCTTTTGAAGAACAAGGAGAGAGAAGAGAGAGAGGAGGAAGGGTGATGAGCTTACAGTTGACCAATCTCCTGACGATGCTGCCCAGCTGGTTGAGAGAAGGTCTGAGTGCAGGATCCAGTCCTATCTTCACCAGAGAGCCCAGGTAGTCCACCTACACAGTCACAGGTCATGTGACAATCATTCCATAGTCATGTGACACGCAAAGAACACTAGCACAATGCCACACTCAACCCTGGTACACACACACACAGTGTATATGTGCAAGCTACTCTCATTTCACCAGTGTACAACTTCTATGTCAGAGTGTATTATGTACCTGACGTGAAGACAGAGTTGATAGTAGAGACTGCCCCTGTCGTCTGGTGTTCATTTCTACAGAGCACAGACCACTACAGTAAACAGGAGACAACTCTGAGTCTGCTATACACTGCACTACATGTAGTTAGTTGAGTACAGTGTACATATGTATGTATGTGTATGTATGTACCGAGGCTAGTGATGGTGTAGGCACAGTTGTTCCACTCTGCCACACACACTCTCTCGTTCCTCTCGTCTGGGTCAGCCTTGAACGCCATCTGCAGACAGTGGAACACGATACACACATACATACACAACTGATCTTTGTGTTAACTATTGCAACTCACATGACACCCCAATATTATGTGAAAGTAACGGTGCACACACACACACACACACACACACGCACAATTAAAGATCACTCAAAATTTTCCGATGTGTAATAGCATTACATCATGGGATATGTACATGTAGCTGTTGGTATAGAGGCTGACCATGTATGTGCACTGAGAGAAGATGGAAATCATATCTCTTCTCTCACTGGGCCTGTAGTGAGAATGGAGCACAGCAGGTGTGTTAGGTCTATGGAGTGGTTCACAATGTATTGACAGAGTGCAGCGCAGAGCACTCTTACACACGGCTGCATTATGATGCAAGCTGTTATTCTCGGGGGTAATGTATCTCATGTACCTTCCAGGTAGATAGGACGAGGGTCTCTTGAAGTTCCTAAACAGCTCAGACAGTTTGTCCCAGAGCAAGTGAGGCTGGTTTCCTGAGGAAGCAACAGCCAGCATTTCAATGTTAGACACACACACACACCGGCAACTGAATTATCATAGCCTCGTTTCAAGGCCTTCCACGAGAGAGAGAGAAGGCCTGATACAGACTTCGTGCATGTGCCGCCAAACGAGGCTACAATTTCTTGCAGAGCAATTGCCTCTACGATTTAGCAGAAACACCTTACATACAGCCTATGTACTATTCGCAACATCCATAGTTAGCTCTTGATGAAAAACATGAAGCTCCAGTTATAAGTTCTAGAATCTTAGGGACTCAAATGAACAAAGCAGCTCCTATCCTCACCTTCTAGAACATTCTTTGACTCGGCGAGGTCCACAGCGAGGTCGACGATTTCCCGCCACTCCGAGAACCCCACGTTCGCCTGGGGGGCCTCGGAGGGGGCGGAGCATACGGGGGGCAGGAGGGGGACGACGGAGTTGCTGAAGCTCTGGCAGAGAGGACAGAGGAACTCGCCAGAGGTCCACTGGACGGATTGGCCAGGGAGAGGGTAGAAATAGCGACGGCCGTGCTCCTGCTGCTTGCTCTCTATAAACCTGGAGAAGAAGAGGAGAAGAGAGGGAGTGAGGAGTGGACATAGTAGGAGGGGTGGAAATGGAATAGGTAATGACAGAAAAGGCAATCATCAGCTTGAAACAGAAGGATTTTGTCATGTACTGTACTTAGATGCTGCTACGAAGGAAGAATCAATAGAGCAATGTTGAGTTAGTGAGACATGAAAAGTCACGAAAGAAGGAAAGTGGAGTGTGCAGTTCACCTCTTCCAGCAGTCGGCGTGCATGTGGTGGCCACACCCACTGGTGAACATCCCCAGAGGCTGGTCTGCCCGGGCTGCCAGGTAGTCACACTCTACAGAGAGACATTGTCGGGTCACATACAGTAATTGTTGTACGTAGATTGTACTGCCATACATACACTGATCATGGTTTATACCACCCACCCTCACCCAAACCAAAAAAAATTGGCAGAATGTATATATAATCTTGTATAGGCAACACACTTTGGTGGATTTCTGGCCGAATCTGACCACAAACATAAAGCCACATAAAGCCATTGGTGATATATAAGGACCAACTTTACCGTTTGTTTCCAGTGAGGCTCCTAGGCAATCACGTTGAGTAGGAAGAAAGACTAATATACAGGTACTAGGCTACAGTCTGTGTACATCATTTCTCCTCACTCGTGTCGAGCTCTTTCACATCAGCGGGAGAACACTCCGTTGAGCTCTGCCGCAGGACACACGAGCGCTGCACGCACACTGCCTGCACGAACACCTTGTCCTGGACCGCTGCGTCTTTGCTGTCGGCCTGACAGAGAATGCAGGTCTCCTCCTCCCTGGTCTCTGGAGGTCTGCCCACGAGAACTGTCAGTCCCACAGCTCGCAGAGTGGGGCTCTTGACCGCGACTGATGGCCCAACATCACTAGAGGAGGGAACCAGGGGAAGTATCATGAGCTACGAGACCTCACGGGCAACAAAACGAAACCAGTAATATTTCTGAGTGAAACTTCTGAAAAATGACCCTCCGAATAAAGGACACTTCTCACCAGAGGACACTCAAGCTCTACTCTACACTAATACACTTTACGGTTTTATATAATACTACTTCTGAAAAAAGGGGTACCTCCTTAGAAATGACACACTTTGAGTCCCCAGAAAGTTTCCCTTATCAGAGGTTTAACTGCTTTAAGTTTTGTGGGCAAGAGACGGAAGGCAGAGGGAATAGAAAAGAGAAGGGAAAGGTAGAGGAAGCAGATACATACGGTTCATCAACCTCCGGGCCCTCGAGGTCCAACATCTGTTGGCGGTTCTTCTCAAGAAACTTGCGCTGCATGCTCTGCATCTGCGCCATGGCCTTCTCTTTCTGTTTCCTGACCAGCTCTTTCCTCTCCGCGAGGGCCTTGTCCTGCGCCAATATGGCCGCCATCTCCTTGTCCCTCACCGCTGAACCCCCGGCCTCTAATTGGACGTTCATGGCCGAGGTGGGCGGTGAGCTGCGACCGGTCGACTTCTCTCTGTATTTCTTGAGGTTCTGGTCAACAGAGGTGGAGAGATACAGTGGTTCACAGTATGCTGAACACTGAGAGTTTCACTGCTAACGGAGTAAAGTAGGGTACATCAAGGTGGCGAGCAGAATAAGGGAAGGGGTGTCTTATTTCAGGAGTCACTGTTTTTGGGGAAAGAAAAGGTGTCAGTCTTAGAGAGGTGTCCTCGTTTCCCTGTTGAGAGCTCCACTGCATTGAGTCCCTATTTATGTTAGTGTGTGACTTATCACGCATGCGTATGTAATTTTACTTACTGTACCTGTAATTACGTCATTATTCTAGAGCTTTCTGTGGTCACGTCATCTGTACCGTGATTGGTCAGTAGCACGTGGTAAGACGTGGGTCGTCAGAGTCAGAGAGATAGTGTGTCAGTGTGTCTGTCGCCGATCGTGGGTCGTCTTCAGTCGGAGAGTTTTGTATCGTGTGTCAGTGTGTCTGTCGCCGATCGTGGGTCGTCTTCAGTCGGAGAGTTTGTATCGTGTGTCAGTGTGTCTGTCGCCGATCGTGGGTCGTCTTCAGTCGGAGAGTTTTGTATCGTGTGTCAGTGTGTCTGTCGCCGATCGTGGGTCGTCTTCAGTCGGAGAGTTTTGTATCGTGTGTCAGTGTGTCTGTCGCCGATCGTGGGCCGTCTTCAGTCGGAGAGTTTTGTATCGTGTGTCAGTGTGTCTGTCGCCGATCGTGGGTCGTCTTCAGTCGGAGAGTCTTGTATCGTGTGTCAGTGTGTCTGTCGCCGATCGTGGGTCGTCTTCAGTCGGAGAGTTTTGTATCGTGTGTCAGTGTGTCTGTCGCCGATCGTGGGTCGTCTTCAGTCGGAGAGTTTTGTATCGTGTGTCAGTGTGTCTGTCGCCGATCGTGGGTCGTCTGCAGTCGGAGAGTCTTGTATCGTGTGTCAGTGTGTCTGTCGCCGATCGTGGGTCAAGTCAGTGTGTGTGTCACAGGAAGGTGCCTGTATCGTCATTAAATATAATATTTTACTAGACTGCGCAGTAAGTGGCACCATCACATAGTGTAACCAACTGCTTGCCCCCATGGTCCAAAAGAAACACTGACTGCTCTATGTATGTACAAAGACCTGCACGATCCAGGAGAGGAGTGGCTTGTGTTCCTCGGCACGTCTGCTGCACAGCAGAGTCACCAGCTCTTCCAGAAACCCATTGGCTGCATACAGACAGACACACACACACATGATGTGTAGCGGCAGTAATCCACAAGTATTAGCCACTGGCTATTAGGAGTGAATGCAGGAACTCTGTAATGCTCGTAGATGAAAACATAATGCCAAATTCGCAATTCACATAATGCACGTGCAGCGTGCTTTATAGTTCCCCTCCCTGGCTGAAATAGTTTGAACCCCTCAACATCGTCCATTGTAGTATGTATGTATGTATGTACTCATGAGTCGTGGAGAGACAGAGTGAGTACATACCTCCGTGGAGTCCGATGGCGGCACTGGCGAGAGAGTCAGGCCGTGAGGAGTCCTCCTCTCTCAGCATTACTGCACACAGGTACAGGCTCTGTGAGACAAGAGAGAGAGAGAGAGAAGTGTATACCTTGAACGTAATTTAAGACCCTGTCTGTACAGTCACCATTTTAGTAACTGGCAGCTTATGTAAGTTTCGTTATAAGTGCTCAGATTTAAAGGCGATTGCCAAATTTAAACACAAGTTTTGGGCAAATCTTCACCATAAGCATTTCCAGTGTTGTACGTATGCACTAACTCTGTGGTTAAGTCAGTTGAATGATGTTGTGCTACAGAGTCAGATAGTGGCTACTGTACCTCATGGAGAAGTTTGTCGGACCAGAACTTTGAGACTGGGTCAGCAGCCTGTCTGAACACACAGTTGAACAGTCGGTGGGTCACTGGACTAGCGGTGAGACGAAGGACGCCCTGGAATGGCCCGCACAATGGCGGCAACTCCGCTGGGGAGGCAGCTGTGTAACCGGGATTGACAATTAGAGTAAAACCAGAGAGTAAAACTGTAGGAAGGAATGTGGGATATATAGCTGAGGGAGAGAAGGACCGAAAGAAGGGGAGTAAATACTGTATGGCAAAACCCTTAGTAAACTTCTGTAAATTTACAAACAGCTCCGAACAGCAAATATAATGCTCATAGTTGTATATTTAGTCCTTACCCTCAGGACTGAGGATGCCTCCTGCTGCCTTTATCCTTCTTCTCTGAGCATCTTCAGCCTGTATAGGGAAACCAGATATGACAACAAGAGAGGAGAAGGGGGAAGAGAGCCTATAATGCAGTAGATGTATGACTCAGAGAAAGAGGGAGGGAGGGGGAGAGAGGGGGGGTGTCAGCTCACCATGGAGTGGTCAGTTCGAGTGTAGTGGTAGAAGAACGGGTTGTACTCGTCTTCAAACTCTGCCCTCAGTACAAACACAGCTTTACTCATCCCTCCACCTTTCCTGCACGTGTCCAAACTGACTCACTGCAGGTCTACCATACATACACCAGTAGAGGGAACACGAGGCCCCACCATGGGACCAAAATAACTCATGGGGCCCAAATACTGCTTTTCTCATGCCTCTTTCCCCCCCAGGAATCAATAGACATACACAAGAGCCCATCCTTATGAAGAACGAAGATACAGGAATGAAGGGTTATGTACCTGAGTGTGGCCACTTTTTTCAGCAGTTGGTCGATCTCATTCTCTCTCTCACTCATCTGGAACAACACAGACACGGTAGACATGATCATCGTTGCGTCGAAATTCAAAATGTTTCCCGGTTTTAATTTTGGAAAGGACTTCACTATAACTTAACCATTATTACTGGATATTATTCTGTACGTACACAAACGTACCCTGAACTCCTTGAGGATCTGGCTGTGGGAGAGAGGAGCAATGAAGAGCTTGTGAACGAGTTCCCTGCGGAGAGAGTCCATTTCCTTTACCCCCTCTCCCACCCCCGCCACCCATCGCTCGCCTGAGGAAGGAGAGAGAGGAGATGAGGGAGAAAAGAGATAACATAGGGGGAAATGGAAAAGTGCATATGAAGTGGAACCCCTCTAATCCAGACACAAAATATGGGGCAGAAGAAAGTGTACATACTAACTCATTACAGGGGCACCGTTAGAGTAACGAAAGTAAAAGCATATACTCTGGTGTTCCTCAAACTTGTCACTAAGTAACGTCTTCGAAAAGTGTGACTGAGCAATGCAGCACAGATAGTGCGTTTTTGAAGCTTATTGCATAACCTTTTGGCTTTCATCATGCAATAAAGTGAAAAGAGAGGAGCGATGGAAGTAGTGTGGAGGATATGGCGACTCACAGAAGATGGTGATGAAAAGGAAGACAAACTCCTCGGCCTCGTTCAGGAAGAACCTCAGGGCATCCTCCGACGACTAAGAGAGAGAGAGAGAGAGAGAGAGAGAGAGAGAGAGTCAGAGAGTCAGGGAGACAGACAAACACGGGGATGGGGAAAGATAGAGTAAGAGAGAATTCTTTATGTTTGACCAAAACCCAGCTACCTACAGCTTACCTCTCCTCTCCTCACTGACGGATCACTTCCAGGGCTGCAGGAATTAGTGAGAATCGCACACAATCAAACACAGCAAACAAATGCTCCTTTCTAACCCTATCTTCATACCATCTAAACCTATCTTCATGGCATCTAAACCTATCTTCATACCTTACACAACAGCTAGAGCACAAAGTGGACGGTGTGATGCTAGTATATACTAACCTGGCAATCCAGGTGTCTAGTCTAAACTTGTGGATGACGGAGTACAGGAAGACAGAGGGATCCAGAACAGCCGCCATTGCCTGCAATACAATGCGTTTTAGACATCACACTTGTGAGCACAAAACACAAGACCATGGGATACATACAGTAGAAGACAACACACACCACCCATAAAGCCAAAAAGGCTGGTTATGCATGGTACACTCTGTACTGGCACAGTGCAACCTCTGAATAAGGGAAACCTTGGGTACATTTAAAGTGTCCTTATTCGGAGGTAGTGTAATACACGAATATATATATATTAGTGCGGGGCAGATACAAGTGTCTCTTATAAAGAGGTATACTTTATTCCAAGGGTCCCTTTTCAGAGGCTTCTTCACTGTGAGGTTCTGACCTGCAGCATGACGATGTCTTTGTCGTACATCATGCCTCGAGGATAGTGGTACTGATAGGCCCCCACTTGTCGTGCCACAGAGTACCCGTTTCTCTTCCACATGCCTGCGTTGACTTGTGCTGCCAGCACCAGTACTCTGGACGACACCTCCATTAGGAACAGGGGTGACTGTACGTCCTGTTTGATGAGGGAGGGGGGGATGAAGGGAAGAGGGTGGGATGGGTGCCAGATTGAAGAGAGGGAATTAGGGGAAGTATGGTAGAAAGGAGAAGAAAAGAGAGAGAGAGAGAAGAGAAAGAGAGGAAGTAGGAAGAAGAGATGAATAATGTACGAAGTTTCTCTCTCTACTCACGGTGGATGAAATCTGGAGAAGATCAGGTAGGGAGAGGTTGTGGGCACTGGCTCCAGTCAACAGACCTTCACCGGAGACAGAACATAGTAAATCACGCACACACACACACTATAGAGAGTATAATAAATATTGGGAGGAAACAAGTTTAGTAGGAAGATTTAAGATTTTTAAAGGTGAAAAGATCTGTAGGAAAGTTTTAAGGAGAAAATATCCACTGCAAAAATCCACCGAAATTGTTTTTGAGTGGAATTTATTCTCTAGTGCATGAACATAAGCAGTGAAGGTGCACACGCATGCAGTAAGGAGCTAGTTAGTGCAATAGAGGGACTCACCAGCTAGGACTCTGGCCAGAGGCTGGTGGATGGACACCGCCTCCTTCTGAATGTCAAACACAAAAAGTTCCATCTTGCTACTCCCCACCAGGTCTGGAGCCACCTCTGTTGGGGCAGAATTTCACTTATTAATGTGAGTATCTCCTTAATTTTCTATTACTCAGTATGGCATAGTGTTAGTGTGGTAATTTCGTACATCACCTTGGCAATTTGTGACATAATGGTTGATAGCAACGTTGAAAAAGGTCATTATTATTGTAAAACTAAAGAGTTATTAACCCATGTTAGAATTACATGGCAACTAAATATTGGATTACCGTGTCTCTTGTAAGGAATATGGTCTCGGCCTGCAATCTGTTCGTGTTTCCTGAGAGTCATCCTAACAGCCTCCACCAGTATAGCTCTCTGTGGGTTTGATTGTATATGACTTATGTATGTAGTAGTAGTTGAGAGAATAGAAAGGGGAGGGAGGGAAAGAGAGGGAGAGAGAGAGAGAGAAGGATGAGGGGAGATAGGGAGGCAGAGAAATGACAATGAGGAGAAAGAGGAGAGGAGGAAGGAAGGGGAAGATTAGATGGAGGGGAGTGAAGGGAGGGAGAGAGAGAAGAGGCAAGGGTTCTCACGTCAGACCTCCACCAGTATAGCTCTCTGTGGGTTTGATTGTATATGACTTATGAATGTAGTAGTAGTTGAGAGAATAGAAAGGGGAGGGAGGGAAAGAGAGGGAGAGAAGGATGAGGGGAGATAGAGAGAGAGAGAGAGAGAAGGATGAGGGGAGATAGAGAGAGAGAGAGAGAGAGAAGGATGAGGGGAGATAGGGAGGCAGAGAAATGACAAGAAGGAGAAAGAGGAGAGGAGGAAGGGGAAGATTAGATGGAGGGAGGGATGGAGGGAGAGAGAGAGAAGAGGCAAGGGTTCTCACGTCAGAAATGCACCACTGGATAAACTGCTGGATGGGTTGCTGTAGGACGATGAGAAAGTTGAAGAGTATCTCCCACGGCTGTTCCCTCTCCACGTGGATCCCTCTCTGTCTCTTTAATGGGTCTGCGTTCTGTCCCAACACACGACACACCGTCAATACTACCTCCCAACAAATATTTACCCTAGTAGCAGTTAGTACAAGTTCTTACACATGCGTAGTTCAAGTATTGTTACTATAGTAAGCTCGGTATATATATAGTGTATATACCTGCACCATTCCCAGTAGGTCGATGAACTTGGAGAAGGCCTCAATGACGGGTTCCCTCAAGTCCGCCAGACTCTCTGGTCTATTCCTCAGTACATACCTATGTATGTATGTACACATACCACCATAGAGAGAATGGGGTTAATGTGGGATCATAGATCATGGAGACACATCTCCCAGTAGCCTGACCTGTAGGCTTCCCCTTAATGCATCGACTAAGATCTGTGTTTTACAATGGCCTCGAACGTTAGGTCTGGCTTATCCTCCCTGGTCTACACAACAATAATGGATTGCTACTGGCTTTGCTAAAACGCCCCGCGACAAGATATAAAATGAAGCACAGCTCAGCAAATGAAGAGACATTAAAACTCACCTGTGCATCATAACAGTACACTTTACTTACTCTGGGATAGTGTACATGTGCATGTGAGGGGGTGATCATGTGACCTCCCCATTCATGTCATGTGACCTGACTGTGCAGTGTGTGCTTGTGATCGTGTAACAACTCCTTGGGTACCATGTGACCCTTCCTCGGCGTGTCACGTGATCTGTGCATTTAGCCATGTGACCCGTCCTTGGTCAATCACGTGATCCGACAGCGGGCACCACATGAGGTCATGTGACCCGACAGCAGGCATCACATGACTCTAACCTGAGGTCGAACATGACGTAGCTGACACGAGAGTGCTTGTAGGAGCTCGAGGTGAGCTTTAACACACCGGTGTCTGAACGATGGGGGAAGAGAAGGAGGAGACGGTGGGTTAGAGTGGTGAAGGAAAGAAGACATGCATGAATAATATCGTATCAGTACTAAAAACTTGGCGCAAATTTCACATAAAATCTCACGACATATGTAATTATTAGGTACATAATCACGAAAGTAATGGACCTTGCATGTGCAATACATGTTTCTAGTGATCTTTGACATAATAATAATTACAGAGGTACACACACTCACTCACATGTGCACCCAAATGTGGGAAACCGAAGTAACAGTGTTTACTAAATACTGCTTCCCCGTGACACTAGTGGCACTAAACTAGAGTTTTTACTAAATAAGTCGAGCAGCTCCTATCAGAAGCCTTTTTTTTGTAGTTCCCTTGCTACACTTGAGTGCTACTCTAAACCTTTAGGCCATGCTGATTTCACCTAATGTACACACACATAGAACACAAAAGAATCAAGGGCCAAGAGATATGATATTCACCCGGATTCTTGCAGGGAGTCACCAGATCAGTCAGTGTAGTCACAATCCTCTCCAGCAAACCGTGACTCTTCACCAACATACGGCTCTGTGGTGTGTGTGTGTGTGTGTGAGAGAGAGAGAGACAGAGAGAGAGGAGAGAGAGAGGGGGCAAAGGGAGAAGGGAGTGGCTTTCTCTACAGTCAAAGTCTATTGCCAGAATCTAACCAGTGAGGGCACGGTGAAGAGCTGCACAGTCACGTTGCTAGCCTGCACAGGAGAAAGCAACACTTGACTAAACAGCACATTACACGATCAGTAATTCCACATCTCCCATTCCTTCCTCCATCTCTCCCTCGCTATTATGAAAGACTTACACAGACATCGTGGTTGTGCGAGTCAGCCACAAAGTTCTTGAGCAGTTCGGAATAGTTGTTAGTCAGGTTGACTGCCAGCTGAGGCTTGCACCTGGTGTCCATGAATATACTGCAACAATAGATGACAACTAAAGGCCATTGCATGCAACTTTGTTGGGTGGTCTTCTATCATACCCGTACATTATGAGGTATATAATATACTTCTCACGTATCTAAGTTGCATTGTGTAACATCACGGCCTTAATGGCTGGGATCTTATCAAGCAAGTGTCATTAAACTAATACAAAGGGGTTGCAGAAAAATTATACGATAAAAGGCAGTAAATTATACTATGAAAGGCGGTACAGTTGCTCTGATTAGGACCTCTAATTACAGGAAAGTGTGTGAATTACTCACGAGCTCATGACCAGTCTGTGCCATCCTAGTCTTGCAGCTGAGAAAAATTGAGGAAACGAAAACAGGCAGTTATAATGAAGGAGAGATAGAGGGGGAGAGGGGGGACAGAGGAAAAGAGGGAAAGAGGGAGGGAGGGAGAGAGGGAGGTAAGAGGCCTCACTGATCCACATCTTGTGGTCACTCAAGAAGACGTAGTCCAGAATACACCTTCCAGAAGGAGAGCCAACTTCAACCAGAGCCTCTGAGATGAGTCTGCGAAATGCATCTATGTACAGGAAGACAGAGACACACACTCACACTCTCCAATTCCGTCCACTCATATAGACAGTCTCCATAAGATACACAATAACATGCTAAATGTACATAGAAGGAATCTTCCTGGAAGTGTGTGTGTTGACTCCTGTTCAATGAGGAAAAGGAAAAGGAAATTTAGTGCCATGTGTGTGTGTGCGCTTGTGTGCTGTGCTTGCAAAAATCTTAGCATTGAACTGTGTGCCTTCAGAATCCTAGCAGAGGCTGTGAGCTCTCCTCCCCTATCCTCTCAACCCACCCAGTTTCTCTGAGAGTTCCTTGAGGAGAGAGAGGCAGAGAACGGCACAGGTCTGGTGGGCGGCCACCGCACTGTGGAACACCATCACCTTCAGAGGTTTGCTCCGGATGCTCGTCTGGAGATGTTAATACGTTACAATTATCACCACCACTAGTAGCACTGCACACAGTGCAGTTTGTACCACAGTGTGAAGGCCCTCCCTAAAGACACCTCTGAAACGAGGTCACCTCTCAAATAAGGCTCCCAAGAGTTCTAGGTTGCATCGGATATCTAACTAATACAAACGCTTTCTTTTGTGCACCATTGGAGAGTGGTTCCACTGTATACACATGTAATTATTAGCTAATTCAGCGGTAATATTAGTATTTGTAGTTGTATACATGTATATAAACATTGGGAAAAAAGTTAGACCAAAGCCAAATATGTGTGTCTCCCACACGAGATAATACCAAACTGAGCCCACACGAGGCTCGGAGCATGCAGAGGAATGGGAACACATTCATTTCTCACGTTGATCCTCTCCTTGTCCTGCTGGCATGTGTCTTGGGTCCCCACGGCACAAACTGCTCGACCCTTCAGGGGGAGGGGAGGGGAGGGGAGGGGGAGAGTGAGAACAACTAAAACGACACATTTACAAAAAGCATCAACGTACAAAGCAACGGGAGAGCAAAATAGATACACAGATATATTACACTTATAGAGGCAGATAAGAAGTATCATGCACCAACACACAATAGTAACCAAACTGACCTTTCTATCAACAAATGTTGCCAGGGCGACGGCGTCAGTGTGCGTTTTCTTGAGATGAGCCGTCAGGGCATAGATCACCTGAACATTCAAATCATGTGGGGGGAGGGGTTTATATCCAAACCATATATATATACACCCCCACACTTATACTACTGTGAAGCGAGTTAATTTTGTTCTGTTGAATAGTGACTTGTGTCTAATTCTCGGTTTTTTTCATGTGTGGATGAACCAGGAGGTGTACCATGTTACACATTTTTTCGTGCGGAAAAACATTCATTCTTAGAAGTCAGGGAACGAAGAGATTAAGAATACTATGAAAAGCACTGAAGTGCAAACCCTCGGCGCATTGTGACGCGCGCGCGTGAGTAAACGCATGCGCCGTATCACTAATCGATGGGCTGGGTAGTCGTGGTCTCTTGCCAGCTCGCGCCTGACGCGGGCTAACTACACTACTAGATAGCATGCGGGAGGCGATACACGCCCTGCGTTGCATCTTCTGGTGCCTCCGAGGTATATACACAGAGCACGCGGATCGATCAGACCGCGGTAAGCCATCCCGTCCATTGCGTATTTGCATATTGGCTTTTTCGCGCTCTAGCTCTGCAACGGAGCATTTTCACAGAAAACCCCACATATTTTTTGACCTTTGTCGCCCGTTGGGTAGATGGTATCGTTTCTGGGACGAACAGACATTCGAGAGGTGAGATGTAGAGTAACAGACACACACACACACACACACACACACACCCAACTACAGTACCCTCGCTGCGCATGCGCGCCGAGGGTAAATATTATACTGCATATATATTAACCATGTATACGTGTATGTACTGTGTATGTACATACCTCGTCATAGGAGTGGTCCTCATCATTGTAGAGGAAGGCCAGGAAGGAGGGGTTCTGGAGGCTGCGTTACGTGAGTGGATTAGAGAACAAGAATATGTACACCACGTGCATGGCAAACAACACATTGTACAGGCATCACCGTGGCAACACTGTTGATGGGCATACGAAATCGAACGCATCCCATCCCATGAACATCGATGTACATAACTAGAAGGAACACTTTTGACTGGCAAATGTAAGCGAGTGATGGAGCATGACCTTTAGACTGTTATACGTGATGCTCATTCATGCACGTTGAAAATTAAGACAAGGCTTGGTTCGCTTGCCAATTATACCGGCATTCTAATCAACACTGTGTCAACACCACTTTGAGAACATCTATGGAGATCTACATATGTATTATAGTGTACCACTGGTCAGTGTGGGCCTGCATGAGAGTGGGAGGAAGGGAGTTGGGATCCTCCCAACACAGCATCTTCATGCAGTACCACAGGAGGGCAGAGAAGAACGGACGAGCTCTGTCGACCAGATCACTGGGGAGAGCTTCTACCGGGTCCACCTGGAGGAGTTAGGAGAGGGGGTGAGAGAGAGGCAAGCAGGGGGAGAGTGAGAGGGAGAGAAAGATAGAGAAAGAGAAATAGAAGGGGAAAACACATAGACAGTGATGGTCATACAGAAATCTGATACCAATCACACTCACAACCAGTTTCATGATGACCCAACCTCATACAGAAACTGCAAGGCAAACTTGAAGTATACTTTATATACTATATCCTTACATCCTGCTCGTCTTGCTCGGTGGGTTTGTGTATGTCGCAGTGGACAAAGGAGGTCCAGGCTTCTGGGTCGCCACAATCGCAGCATCCTCCTCCTCCGCTGGCAAACAACTGATGGACAGAAGAGTATGTATGTATAGGACAAGGATAAAAAGTGAACCAGAGAGGAGGAGAAGAAGGAGAAGATGAGGATCATGTGGTGGAGAGGAAGAAATATTACACATATATAGCAGAAAAGGAGAGAGGAGAGTGGGAAAGAGGGGTGGAAGAAACGGAGAGATGGAACGAGAAATAAATATTTTGATTAACTGAAACTATATAGGTAATGAAAATTCCGGGTATTGCGCAATGCGAAATGTCAAACACCACCATAACCCCAAATTATGCTGAATATCTGCTGACGACAGACTTGACTGCTTAGTGCACAGGTTTGCACCATGTAGCACTCTGAGCACTGACCCAACACCAACGTGTCTCATGGTATTTATAGAACAACCACATGAGGTAATGGTGACATCATAATTATGTATATACACACCCTGTAGTTGTGGTTCTTGTGTTCGCTGTGTTCAAAGCACTCCATGCAGAAACAGCACGTTCGGGTCGGTCTGACAGTCCCTGGACAAACATATCGTACAGTGTAAACTCTGGCGAGTACACTTTCTGGGCATACACAATCACAATGCAGCAAAAAGCTACATACAGTAAATATTATCACAGCACCCTATTCCTATAATGGCATAGTATAACAGTTGCCTCTGTATCACTGCTAGGCGAGAGGGAACGGTAGGGGCTCTTAACAATGTGGAAAAGTGTAGATGCGTTGCGTGGGGGAGGCGCGATTCCAATCCATGCCCACCATGTATTCTGCGAACCCACTTGCAAAAGTAGGCCGGTTCTCCTCCGCGGAAGACCTTCCCGCAGAAGTTGGCCTGCGTCTGGTGCTCCTCCAGGCTACAGAAGGCCACGGCGGGGTCCCGGCCGCACAGCATCCACTGGAGAGGCGTCACCAGCTCGTCTCGGACGCGAGCCTCGTCGGGCGCCGTGTTGGGGGCGCGGGACTCGTCGAACACCTTGCAGGCCATGTCCGCGAAAAAGAGGCTCAGTTTCTGGGGCAGTTTGTCCGGTGGCACGGCCGCCACCTCCCTGCACGTCTGTTTACTAGCCATTTCTTCACTCACTGTACGGCGGGGCCAAGGTCGCGCTTCCAACAGGTGTGCGTGTGTATACTTAGCGATTACGTCATGGGTATAAATCCAAAATAGAACAACACCGAGTATACATGCTCTAACAGTAATTCTCATTTCGCCACGTTGTTAGAGCTCAGAATCTCGATCCAGTAACCATCCGGATCAGTGATGAAAGCCAGACCTTTCATCTTCCCTAAGCAATTAGAAAACATTGCATCTCAGTCATGGAAAATTTTCGTTGCTCTAAAATATTACACACCATCGTCTGCTTTTTTGACAAAGTTCACTCCGAGTTTCTCAAACCTCTCGCATGCCTTGTACACATCAGGCACACCTATTCCAATGTGCCCTGAGGGGGAATAACAACGCACTCGTCAACTGAAAAAAGTGGAAAATGTTGTAAGGCCTACCAAATCCTCGAGGGTCTTTGTTTCCATTATGGTACTGGAATTCAGGGTCATCCTCAGTGCCCCAATTACTGAAATTAACATTTCGCACAATTTAAATTTGTGTATATACCACCAATAAAGAGTGGAAATTATGCACGACAAGTCATTCATTGTTGTTAATGTTAAAATTTGGCAGTCAAGCAAAATCTCCCTGCCATGTGGTACGTATGTACTTCTACTTGTCAGTGAGAGACAACACCGAACAGGTAGTTGCGTAGCTCACTGGGTCAGTTCCACGGTTGCTTTCCTACTAAACGTCCATCTCGTTCTCTCGGTCTCGTCCTGGGGAATGTCCTCTGCTGGCTCGTAGCCCATGAAGTACAGGGAAAACTTCATGGCTGGGAAATCCAGCTTCTTCAATAACCTGTGGATACATATATACATCTCATGGGAGTAGGTATGGTGGTGCAGACAAAAGTAATATCTTGTGGGTGGGGCTGGTTTCAGATATATAGGAAAGAGCACAGCCCACAGAGCTATACCGAGCTACGGGATTGGTCGGGTTCGGACAAAGTACACCCAGCACACTATGAGTAGGTGGGAGTAGGACAACAAGTTGTTCCTCACCTCATGCCGAGGATTCTGCTGTAGAAGTCCAGGGATTTCTTGGGATTCTTGACCCTCATCATGGTCTGCTGCATGATGAAGTCCTTGCAGCTCTCGTCGGGCTCCGAGACGTAGGTCTCTGCGTCGGGACATGGAACACCCTCCTTCTCAGCCATAGCTAGCTTTACTAAGCTTACTAAACTTTTGCGCATGCGTGAAGGGCCGGGACCCATTCTGCACGCACGGAGCCGAACAGATCGGGGACAGGCCGACAGTACTGCAAAAAAATTAGCAATGGACGAAGAAATCTCGAAGGCTCTGAGTCTGCCGGAGGTGGGGTACAGCCGAGTGTGGGAGGATCACCGCGTCCTCTCTAAGGCCCTTGCCATTCAGCCTCAAGATACTGTCCTCTGCATCACTAGGTAAGTAGCTAGCTAGCTAAGTAATTACAATGGATCATTCGTCGGGTGAATATGAATAATGGTGACTTATGCCAATGCAGTTCTGGAGACAATGTCTTGAATTTGCTTCTAGATGAGCCGAGAAAGATAAGTGAGCGATTCGTACGGAGAAACACCTCCAAGTGTATATCAATGCCTGTACATGCAGTTGCTGTAGATCTGAGCCAGGCTCAGAACTCTCTGCTAGAGCTGAAGTTGGCAGGCATTCGATGTCTCTCTCACCATGACTTTCTCGTCCTTCTGGGGGAGACAGACGATAAGTTGAAGCGCTGGTGAGGAGTTACATACAACAGATGTTAGCAGTGCAGTGTTTACTGACTAAGCGAAACATTGTATGGTTACAGGGATGAGATATATGCTTTGGTGATGGAGAATGGACAAATGCCGCCTTATGCCAAAGTATATACGTACACGGAACGGCCACTATGTTAGTTATAGGCTCTATATTTTATACCTCTCTCTACTAGCAATACTGGGACATCCATCAAAAGTCGCTCAAATCCTGTGGAGGTTGGTTGGGAACGTTTGACAAGTATGCATTGGGATTCTCAGAGAGAAAACTCTCTGGGGTCCTCTCTGCGGAGCAGGTGGACGAGTTTCTTTCTGCACCTTCACTGGAGGAACAGAGGCAGCTATTTGACCTCTGGCCAGTCCAGAAACTAAGACAAGCATACAGGTATGACTCTCCCCGCAAAATCCATTGCTGAATCCACAATGTGGTTTTCAACACCAGGGAATTTGCAAGCACGAAAGCCCAGACCAAAGGCCGTGGCACTGCAAAGTTCAAGTTTGTCCAGGTATCTGACTCGGAGATCCAAGATGTCTCCTGGGCCAGGCTGGAGAGAACGTGTAGACACGTGCCAGCGAGAGACAACTTTTACCTCAGCTGGCTTCTGCGCGGAGGTAGAGGGTACGACCCTCTCATTAGGCCGGAATATGCCCCACCTTACTTGACCGGGGAGAGCTTTGACAAGTTGAAGGTTTTGTTTGTTGCATTTGTCTTGTTCTCTTGATTAAACTCTCACTGTGACAGGGGCTGGTGGATCGTGTTGTGGTGCACAGTGGAGCGTTGGAGGAATACCTCACAAGCACGGGATGTGAAAAACCTTCCAAGGTAAGGTTACCTTTTTTTTACATCACACCTTCTGAACAGTTTAGATAGGCACCTAGACCCTCTCTCATCTTTCACCTTTCTGCAGCTTGCACTGTCCAATATATTTGAGTACATGAGTCAGGAGTCAGCCGATGGTGTATTTGACACTCTGGGTTCTCACGTTCCAAATGGAGGACGTGTGGTTTACTGGGAGTACATGAACTCTCGTGCTCCCTCGTGTACCTCTGCTGGTGACACTGGACGAGCCAGGCTCCAGGAGATGAAAGAGGAATGCCAGCGGCTACGTGAAGAAGACCGCTCACTGTATTTCTTGCTCCGTGTTTTGCATGTGATATAGTGATGCTGAATAGTAATGTGCTTCTACTGCCCTTTTAAAACCTACAAGGTCGTGAGGCGTATGCATGCATGCTGCATGCGCGGTAAAATAGCTGAAAGGGTCAGGATCCCATTCTGTACAGTACGCAGACGAGCCGAACGGATCAGGAACAGAAGGTGGGCGTTGAAGAGAATAAAATGGCGGCTCTGGAGAACGCGAACCCACTGGTTTTCGGCCGTACGGTGGAGCGGCAAGTGCTGCCTGAAGAGCTAGACGACGACGTAAGAGACGAGATAGACGCGCGGGAGGTGTTCGACCTTCTCCGCTGCATCAACGACCCCGAGCACCCGTTGACGCTGGAGGAACTAAACGTACTACAGGAAGGCCACATCGAGGTGGACGACCCTGGTAACAGGGTGGAGGTGCTCTTCACGCCCACCATTCCTCACTGCAGCATGGCCACGTTGATAGGTCTCTCGATTCGCGTCCGACTTCTCCGCGCCCTACCGGCCAGGTTCAAGGTCGACATCCGGATTCGTCCGGGGACTCACGCGTCCGAACAGGCGGTGAACAAGCAGTTGGCGGACAAGGAGAGAGTGGCGGCTGCTCTGGAGAACACCCACCTCCTGGAAGTGGTCAACCAGTGCCTGGACATCAAGGAATGACATCACTACTGCATAACGTTTTGTCGTTTTCTTGTATTACCAAAGTTTACATGTTATAACCTGGTTCCTACCCCTTTCATTGTGTGCATGCAAGATAGGGAAGGAAGAAACTTCTCTTGTATGCACACACACTCAAGGGGAGCTGGGAACAAGACTAATAGAAGTTCGGACATGGGGGGAAGATGGAGGAGAGAGGGAGAGTGTCGGAAGGGTAAGGAGGGGAGGGAGGGCTAGGCCACCTCGGAGCTCTGCAGTCTCTCCAGCTGCTCAAACCCAGCGGCGAGAAGGAACCTAAAGTGTGTGCCCTGTGCCACCCCGGCCTCCAGGAGAGAGGGGGAGGAGAGGAGTTCCTCCACTGACGGCAGGACACACCCCAAGTCACACCCTGCAGCAACACGCAGGCACAAAAACGTCTCAAATGCATTCAGGTTTAGTTGAAGATGGGTGGTGTGGTGTTCACCTTTGCAGAAGGCAGCCAGGACAACCTTGAAGAACAGAGTGTGAGGAATCTGTCCCAGAGGATCGTCGGTAGACATCTGGGACCAGCTGGTGAAAGACGAGAAGAGAGAAGATATTTTGATTTCCTAAACTAAAACACTCTGACAGGTGTTCGGTGCGTGTATTAAAGGTTGTTCAACTGTCTTACTCGTCTCTAAGAGCTGCCTGGCTCCATATGTAGGTCTTCAGTTCACTGAATCCTTCACTCTGGCTGTCCTACATGACACAAAGTGAACCGGTGACATCATAATTAAATGGGAAAGGTCCAGCTATACAGAGTACATATCTATGACTGTAAACCTCACTTCATGGGCAATCTGTAGGAGATCCAGTGCGTTCAGAAAGTCAGCCTCACTGGCATTCTTGTTTCTCTCACCAACATACAGCTGTCGTATATAAGGAGTTCATGTTCACGGGCAAAAGGCCCTGATAGGACATTAATATAGATACCTCCACTATTTCCTCTGGTGATAGTGGCAGCATAGTCTCCATATCCAAAATACCCTAGTTCCTAGTTGAAAAGATTTTTTTTTAAAGAGCAAAGAAGCAATAAGGTAACATGACAGAGAGCAAGAAGACTTGGACACCAAGAAAAGCCTATATACTAACCCCCATAAGAGCAACCGGTTGATATCACACAGAAGCATTATCCTATAATATACCCATAAGGGTTCCACTCACCTCCTGCACGCAGTCGGGGATGTTTCTCTGGTGCTCTATCATGCTCAGTTCTCTGTTCAACCTTCCCATGCCTCCTTCCTCGTCCTCGGGGCCAGACGCCAACAGGGCAAGCTTACTCAGACTCAGCTGGGTCTGAAAACCATCAATTTGTCTATAAAAAACCCTGTACAGTGAGTCTAACATTCTTTGCCTACCTTCTTCCTTCCTAAAAACCTTTCTTCTTTCCGAGCCAGTCGCTGTAGCGTTTCATGCGCCTGAGAAAAGAGAGAGAGAGAAAGACTGGCCACGTACTAAGAATACAATAGCAAGCTACTCCATTGACTGCTCGCGTTTGCTTGCCAATGAATACATTTCAACTCTGCGCTGAAGGGAGCGAAATAGCAGGGTTTTTGATCTATATAATACATGTATTGTTTAATGGCAGGGAAGTCACAAATATATAGAAGGAAACTCTTAATGAAGCGAGTGTGAAATGATGTGGGATCCACTGTATCACTAGTTACCATGTCGTAGTCCTGGGCGGCGACGTGGTGCAGCCAGCCGATGTTGTCGTGGGGCTCCAGAAACTTGGCCAGTATCTCTGGGAAATCTCTAGAGTACGACAACAGCTCCTCAATGTTCCCTGGACGACGGCGACGGACGACGACAAGGCAATACCACTAAATTCACATGCATCACCATCTCAAAAATAATCACAAAGTAACCACAACTTCGTGATAAAACTGAAAGGCCAGAAGGAGAATATGAGGGACTAACAAGAAGATTAATGCTAAGGCCACTATCCACTTTCCACTATCAGGGAGGCCATTTTCCCCTGCTCCCCAACCAGGGAGCAAGGCTAGCTAGCCTCCATGCTGGCTGGCTGGCTGGCTGACCTCGGTCCAGGTGGCGCTTGAACAGGAACTCGGCGAAGCCCTGCTCAGAGAATCGGGCGATGTAGGTCTTGAGCCTGTCCCTGTCGCCGGCCGATTCACACAGGTGGACCAGAAGATGGAAATCGTGGTACTTCTCAGCTAGCTCTATACTCTGGTCAAACTGACCATGTTCCACTGGTGGGTGAGGAGGGGAGGTTAGACATAATACAAGGGTAAATAAGTGAAGGAGGAAATATTACACACACACATCAGGAGAGTATGTATAGGTCTTACACAGAGGAGAGAGGAATCTCTTCCTCGAAGTTTCAAACTGTTTTCTGACTTGGACGAGTTCACCGGAGAAGGCTGGGTTTTGCCTGCGGGTGACACACATCTCAGTGAGAGTTTATAGAAGACGGTCGGCATATTACCTCCAAATAATGGCACATGCTGGGGAGAAGCCCTTTTTCCTTTACAGGGAAGTTGTCCTACACTATCTTTGGAGGTTAACTGTCTACCATATAGTAATGGGAGAGTGAGCGTTTGGGACCTCAAAAGTGTGTTCTTTATTGCGAGGGTTTGTGTGCTATATTCAGAGTATCTTTCATCTGAGGTTCTATGGCTGTAAACCCACTCCATGGAGAGCATCTGGTCGAGGTAGCCACCCAGCAGCACGTCACACAGCCCCACCGACACTTCCCACACCTCACCTATCTCCTACACACACACACACACACATACACGATGGGGTAAATACTGACGGGCATTAAGAATTTTGCCATGATACACAACAACTATTGCATGAAAGCAAGCAGTTATTGTATATATGTGTTTCTATACAAGCCATTGCAGGTATATAAAACGCGGATGGTTTAAAAAATTTGTGTCTCCCTAAACTTTCCCGGTAATCCCAGTTATAGCTCTGCCTCTAGCATACCTGTTGAGTGTCAGCATCTCTGACAGCAGCCTCATACAGCATCTCAAGCTACGTAACAGTGGAACGAGTCGGAGAGTTAGGCGGAGAAAGTTGCGCAATGTTACATAACACACTCACCAACTGACAGAGGCAAGATCTGACACCAGTTGAACCTGAAGAGGCTAAAAAAAGGAATCTCTCGTAACAATATCAAAAACAATTATTGTGGCTGAAAATTTGATACATTATGTTATATTTCCTGGCACAATGACCACGATTTGGGACGAAGGGCCGACAATGGTAAGCGAAGCGATCGCAAATGGGCATCGCACATACAGCAATACTTGCACGAAAAATCGAACTACTACGCGTTTCGCTCGCAAAAAAAGGTGTGGCATTAATTGTAGTACTATAATAGGTGTCTGACCAGTCCAGGGAGAGAAGGGAGGGAGGGAGGCGGGGTCGGGAGGGATGGAAGGTGAGTAGAGATGTGACTTTGACTGTCTGTACTGAACTGCCTCTCTCAGCATCGACTCCACGCCAACACCGGCACTCACCACCAGCTGCAACTTCTCCTTTGGATGACTGGAGTGAGGAGAAGAAACAGTAGAACCCCGGGCCTTTTCCCACACTTCAAACATACATATGTAGGTAGCTAAATAAGAAGAAGCAATGCACTAAGTCTGGCTTTCACCGGCAAAGTACTACAGTCTAATGTTCATACAGAGGCTGCTAGATAAAACCCCCCTCTCTCATCTCTACCCATTCCCCCTCTCTGTCTCTCTCTCTCTCTCAGTCAAGACCTGACGGAAGCGAGTCGCGAGGTGAGGAGGGAGAGGAGGGGAGGGAAGAGGGAGTCCAGCTGGACCACCTCGGTGTAGAAGAGGTCCTGGTGAGAGAGGCCAGGTCTGAGGAGGAGGTGACCCGATCTCTGGTCCACACACAGCTTCATCCCCTGGTCCACCACTCTGGAGGACGGAGAGACGGTATACTAGAGGATTGCAACACATTGTTTGGCGAGCGAGTGTTCAAGCATTTCAATATTTCGCGTGTGTTTAACGCGTATTTAGAATCACGTAGAACATTACGGTATGTTGGTCCGTGGGTCGGTTGACCGTTTCACACATAATGGGAAAATTCCACATTCAGATGCCTAGCTAGGTGGGCTCGTTGGCTCGCCAATGACGATGGTAAAGATATCGCACCAACTATTCAACACCTAGCTCTTGCTGTATATATGTAAATACATACACTGTGGTAGAGTATATACTAACTGGTTGTGTGCCTTCCTGAGAGCAATGGCTGCCACTATCTTCTCCGTATGTTCACAGAGGAGATGAGTGGTTCTCATCGGCTGACCTCTCACCGTCACACACGACAGCTGGGGGAGAGAGAGGGGAGAGAAAAAATGTAGAAGTTTGATGTAACTACAACCGCAGTAGTAAACTCAGAGATTTTGGAAGGATTGAGGTTCTGTGCAGGAGTGCATAAGGGCCACGAGGTTTTTAGGGTATTGTTAGAGAGCTATCAGTAGGGGGACTATGCAGATTAGGACATCTCGACTAGATATACAGAAATAGACAAACGATGAATCACACGCAGTCCCCACCATCACACACCTACACCTACTGGTGATAGACACACACACACGCACACACAGGTGCACCACTAATGCTCCCACCTTCTTCAGGAGCCCGCAGTCTCCAATAAACTGCATCAGCCTCACGTGAGCTGTCTGTTTGCTCTCCAGTTGGTACAGAATGACCACCGACCCTCCAGTCAGAGACTCTTTAGAGTATATAGAGGGAGTAAATTACCAGAACAAAATGTGTGGGGTATTCAGGCACTATGGCTAAAGGACAATTGAGAGTTGAAGACAGGAGGGACCCAGTTTTCAACATGGCCTCAATTCTTACAAGAAACCCTGCTAGCTATGAACGTATATACATACCTCTGTTGTCCCCCCAGCGGGGGTCGTGTGCTGGTTGGTCGTTGAGGACCATCTCCGAGAGTGTCTTGACGGCAAGGTCTCCGAGACCGTCGACAGCCCGGGCCCAGCAAGTCCCCTCCCCCGGTGGTGTACGTGTCACTGGAGAACAGCTGGTGGGACGACACACTCGCCTCAGTCTAGGGAGAGAGAGAGGGGGGAGGGGTCGAGGGGTGGAGGGGTGTAGCGTGATTGATACTATGTGCAATACTGCTAACATCACTCAATTGCAAGCGACGACATACATACAATTATTGGCTTACAATGTTTCCCTCCAGGTACTGCAGGAAGGCGTCTTTGAGTGCTTCAACAGCCTCAGCCACCACCTCGGGCGGCAAAGACCTCTGTGACGATGACGATGATGGTAGGGATGATGCCACCACCTGAGGAGCTGTCACACTGCAGTGGAGAGAGAGAGAGAGAGAGGTCAGCCACTAATAGCCAACGAAAACTGGAATCTTTCGACAGTTCACTCAGTGTCCCATGGAAAACCGCATAGCAGTAAAATTTGTTAGCGAAAATTTTTTCGCTGCTTCTTCAATTTTCCCTCCTATTTTACGTTAAATTTTTGCATTTTATGTCAGGTTGCTGCAAAAAAATTTGTTTAACCTTTTTCAAAAGTGTCTGCTCTACAGTATAGAGGAGCTTCTCTCACCTAGTGTGTGACTGTGAGAGAGGTTGAGAGAAGGAGGTGGAGGAGGGAGGGAGAGGAGAGGTGAGGTGGATAGATATCACTCCGTGAACTGTCGAGAACAGTACCACGTGTCCCTCCAACACACCTGAACCATACAAATAACCCCATGTGTAGAGGGAGTGATGTAATAGTGATGTCATACCTTTTCCGAGGATTGAAGTGGAGGGAGGGAAGCCGACCACATCGGTAGTTGCATCATCAGCAGACACTGGAGGAAAAATTAAAATTATCTCTACATTGGTAGCGTCTGTGATTTCAACCCATGTAAGCAAAGACCGCACTTTTACTCAAAGATTTAAAAAAATTATTACCACGCTCTAATTCCAAAGTTAAGCTAATGGCAGTTCCGTGTCACTCACAGATGTTGAGCAAGAGAGTGTTTTTGTTGTGGACTGCGACAGAAGGTGAAGATTGGGAGGAATGGAGGGAGACACTGTAGATGGAGGACAACCCGCCGCCCTGTGGGTTATAGAGGGGAAAGAAGGGGAGGGATGAGAACAGGGGATTTGAGGTCTTGTTGAGAAAACCACATAGGTGGTGGTGTATGAGTCAGGGAAGAGGTGGGGTGGTGCTCAGTTAGTCGATTAAAATCATCAGAAACTGTCGGTCCACAGGTGGCCGCAGTGTTTGTCTGAACCACAGGGTGATCATCACTGCACCACAATAAAGTCCGTACCCACTCCATACACACACGCATGCACGCACGAACTAGTGCCAGTGTGGTATTAAATATACATACATTGCTATAGCCCTCAATAACACAAACAACGAAGAATTGCATCACATAATAATTGCCCCTCAGTGACATTTCGGTGGAAATGGAAAAGTTCCCAGTCTCTTCAAAGAAAATTTGTTCGAAGTCACACTAGGTCCAGTGACATAATGTGAACAAGCCTTACAGTATGTACATACCTGATGAGAGATCTTGTGGTTGAGTTGGATAAGAGACTCAGGAGCATTAGGTGCCGAATCGCAGTCAGCATTGAAAAGAGCTGGTGGACAACAGAACAACGAATTGTTACACGGCACGTACGATCTCTCTCTCTCTCTCTCTCTCTCTCCACTCACCGAGACCAAATTCAGCCACGGAGCTGCCCTCCACTCCAACTGCAAATAGAACCACCACATGCTCCCTGCAACACACACACAGAGCATATAGTGTGTGAGTAGGCATGAATTGTGGGACACAGTATACAGCTGGAGAAGGACAACTAGTGTACAGGTAAACTAGCTAAGTAGGACGCTATACAGTATATAGGGAGGTAGGTAGAATATAGGGGGCCCTATATATCAGTATATAGGGAGGTAGGTAGAATATAGGGGGCCCTATATATCAGTATATAGGGAATAGGTAAATATAGGGGGCCCTATATACAGAGGTAGGTAGAATATAGGGGGCCCTATATATCAGTATATAGGAGGTAGGTAGAATATAGGGGGCCCTATATCAGTATATAGGGAGGTAGGTTAGAATATAGGGGGCCCCTATATATCAGTATATAGGGAGGTAGGTAGAATATAGGGGGCCCTATATATCAGTATATAGGGAGGTAGGTAGAATATAGGGGGCCCTATATATCAGTATATAGGGAAGTAGGTAGAATATAGGGGGCCCTATATATCAGTATATAGGGAAGTAGGTAGAATATAGGGGGCCCTATATATCAGTATATAGGGAAGTAGGTAGAATATAGGGGGCCCTATATATCAGTATATAGGGAGGTAGGTAGAATATAGGGGGCCCTATATATCAGTATATAGGGAGGTAGGTAGAATATAGGGGGCCCTATATATCAGTATATAGGGAGGTAGGTAGAATATAGGGGGCCCTATATATCAGTATATAGGGAGGTAGGTAGAATATAGGGGGCCCTATATATCAGTATAAAATAAGGAGAGTAGATGAACTCACTGAGCTACTGCCACATCCACTGCCCACACTTTGAGTGACACTTGCTGTCCTTTGAACTACATACCAAGACAGAACACTCAACACTGTAACACCACACAACTAACAGTCAGATATATACTGGCAGCACAGGACGAGGTGCACAGTGTGCAGGAAGAGGAGGGATGGGAGAGGGAAGAAATAGAGACTCACCCAGTCTCTCTGTATGACAGAAGCTCCAATCACCGGCTCCAGAGACAACTCGAACACCATCTGCAGCAGAGAAACACACCAACTATCACTGGGAACAGTGAACTACATATTATTCTGTAAACCGACACACTGGACTGCTGTCTTGACCATCATTGACTACCACAGAAACATTAGACTATACTTCTGCCTACCTGTTCCCTCCCATCTTCAATCACCCACTTCTGCAGCAGTTGCAGTGACGAGCTCACTAGAACAAACAGGTGACTGCAAACAACAATGGTAACAGTTAAACATTGTGTCTTTTCTTCCACTATTCACAGACAAGCAAAAAATGGATGAAACATTAGAACTCGCTGAGTAATAAGCAGGATCCAAATTGAAGTCTAAAGCCCATACTCGATAATAATAAAAAAGGAAGGACTTTGTGGTGGTGTTAGGGATCCTAACCATGATGTTCCACTGTGGGAGTCTAGTACTGCAATACTGCGACCCTCCACAGACGACTGATCTCCACCGGCCGAGCCAAAGAACAGAGAGCTCACCCTTCGTCCAAACCCAGACAGAATCCCTTGAGGGGTGTGGAGAGTTCGAGCCGTCAGTGAACCCTGGGGGAGGAAGTTCACGACGTAAAAACTCATGTAAAAGTTTCTCAGCGTGCTAACACATGTCAAGCTGCACTACCAACGCAATGCAACGGCGATATTAGGCTTTGGAAGGGAAAAAAGGGAAAAAAGAAAATAAAGAAGGACATGGTAGGGAAGAAATGGGGAATAGAAGGAAGGAACCATTTTATGTTTGGTACAATCGTGTGTATTATATATACACCTGTGAGTTGGAAGGTGGCTGAATGAGAAGGAGGGAGCCGTTGGAGGTGAGCAGAACAGCCCTGCTGTCCTGGAGAACTGGTCTGCTGACTATCACACGACCAGATCCAACGTCCACCGTCCCATCTGAGGATGGGGCAGACCGCTCTCGGAGGGCATTGTCCCAATAGTAAAGATGCCCGTCACCAGAAACAGCAAGTACCCCGACACTATTAGAACTTTCAAGGCAGTGTATACACACAAACAGTATGCAGTCATTTACCAGGTGCTAGTGAGTTTCCCACACACTATGATCAGGTCCGCGTTCCATTCACTGGAATGGAGTGGAAGTGAGAGCTGGAAGCAACGGGCCTGTGCATGGTTGGTAACAATTGTCTTCACAATTTCACCAAAATAAATGCCTCTCAACTTACAGCCGTTTCTTTAGGTCCATATCTCCACAGCAGCAGTCTCCTAGACCTTCCACAGACCAGCCACGCCCACCCAGACTCGTGCAACCGCACGCTAACGCCTTTGAACAGAGTAACGCATGCGTAAGTGCAGGCAAGCGCATGCAGAAACGCGGTGCTCACTGGATAGGTCTCCACGCAGGGTCTCCTGTACCTGTACTGGTACCGGTGAGTTGAGAGCCTTCACAACATGATGCGCCGTCTCCTTTATCGCCTGTCCAGCTCTCTGAGACCTACGGACAACAAAGCGGCCAGCGCGCGCACGCTGAATTTCTAATTGGAGCCCACCATTTCTCTTACCGGTTGGCTACGCTGGGCGTTGCCCTGGAGGATGTATGTAAGCTTCGACGAGAAGATACGTTAAGCAACGAAGTCTGCAGTGGACTTGCACCAGGAGTAGCAAACATCCTCTCCTTTACACACAGCACACGTCCGTCCAGTGCATGCATGCAGTGCGCGATGCTGCCACATGAGCTAAGTGCGCATGCGTAAAACCACGTGCGTTCTGAAGATGTCTCTTCGTATTTACTTTGCAGGCAGTATTCGCGGCGGCAGAGACGACGTTCAGCTGTACATGAAGATCATCAGACTTCTCCAGGGCTACGGGACGGTACTAACGGAGCACGTGGCGGACGAGAGACTCGGGGCCTACGGTATTGTGACGACAAAAGATGAGTGGGTGGGGCTGTAGTGTTTATTGTTTCAGGAGAGAAGCAAATCTCTGACGAGGAGATCCACAAGAGAGACTTTGAATGGCTTAGTCAGTCGGATGGTAAGTGTTGTAATCATCTTTGTATAGAAAGTATAGTGTATTGTAGTGTATTGCACATTCGCTGTTCCTCTTGTTTCGTGTTTGTTCACAATGAGATATGGGTTGTTCTCTGCTTTTCTCTACTTGTGCACAGCACGTAAATCAGTGCAGTGGGCACTTAATTGATGATGCTATAACCTTGCTGAGGTTTTTGCTTTGATTTTGTGAGCTTTTGGATTGTAGAATATTATTCTGTCTGTATTTAGTGATGGTAGCTGAAGTAACACAGCCATCTCTCGGAGTTGGCTATGAGATCGGGAGAGCTGTCGACATGAACAAGAGGATTCTCTGTCTCCACCGACCTCAGCCGGGGAAACGTTAGCCTTTTTGAGATCATGAAGGAGTTCCCTTCTTTCCCTTCTGTAGGTTTGTCTGCTATGATTAGGGGCATCCACAATGGGTCTTCGGTGACTGTCAGAGATTATGAAGAGAAAGAAATTGAGTCCATTTTACAGACGTTTTTTAGTTCCGTTTAGGATAGGTTTGTATTGAGCATGCATACATAGATGATGTACAGTATAATATATGTGTCATGTCTGAGACATGGTGACTTGCCCCTGCTTAGTAATTAGCGGGGTGCATAGGTGATGATACCAGAGTCTGCTCACCTGCCGTTGTTTTCTTAAAAAGTCATTGATAACCCAATCCCTACATTACGGTAGACATGCATGCATGGCACTCGTGCACATTACGGTGTAAAACTCTGGAAATATAGCCACATAAACCTCTTTATGCTCCCGAAAGAGTATATAGCAGTATATATATACAGTGCAGGCTATATATAAGGTCCCAGAAAATTGCACAAGTTCCAAGTCCTGCCAGTCCCACGCATTAGTTGGGGAGGGAACATCATTGCCAAGGTGGCACTTAGGCTTAGGTTTATGGCATCTACTTTTTCAATGGAGTTCCGGGAAAATGGACTACAATGGGTCTGTAGTCCATTTTCACAAGCTGGAAGGAGCTAATCAGGTTTTGGCATCCTTTGTCAGGAGGGTGTGGCTGTTGCATGTGTACAGCACAATTGTGAGAAGGAGTTAGGGGGCAGGGTATATACTGCCACTGGGTCTACAGTCCCTCCAAGAGTTGTGAGGAGCTAATCAGGTTGTGAGAAGGAGTTAGGGGGCAGGGTATATACTGCCACTGGGTCTACAGTCCCTCCAAGAGTTGTGAGGAGCTAATCAGGTTGTGAGAAGGAGTTAGGGGGCAGGGTATATACTGCCACTGGGTCTACAGTCCCTCCAAGAGTTGTGAGGAGCTAATCAGGTTGTGAGAAGGAGTTAGGGGGCAGGGTATATACTGCCACAATGGGTCTACAGTCCCTCCAAGAGTTGTGAGGAGCTAATCAGGTTGTGAGAAGGAGTTAGGGGGCAGGGTATATACTGCCACTGGGTCTACAGTCCCTCCAAGAGTTGTGAGGAGCTAATCAGGTTGTGAGAAGGAGTTAGGGGGCAGGGTATATACTGCCACTGGGTCTACAGTCCCTCCAAGAGTTGTGAGGAGCTAATCAGGTTGTGAGGAGTTAGGAGGCAGGGTATATACTGCCACTGGGTCTACAGTCCCTCCAAGAGTTGTGAGGAGCTAATCAGGTTGTGAGAAGGAGTTAGGGGGCAGGGTATAAAATTATTCCTTAGCTTCAGAGTCTCCAAAGTCAAAATCTGGCTCAAATTCAGGTTCGGTATCAGACTCGTCATACCCACACTCACATCCAGGCGAAAATGGAGGTAGCCCAGACAAGCAGGACCTATGGCTTCTGTTTCAATGGATTAAGATGTATTTGGTCAAAACCACCACAGCCGCCACAACCTACTTGTAGTATGTACACTTTCATTCATTATTGCTCATCTTTACAGAGACATAATTATATACCAGTGAAACCTTCAATAAGGGACACTCCGAGATAGCGACAACCGCTCTACAAAAGACACTTGATTCAACCCCACGATAATTATTATTTGGCTTCCGAGATAGGGGTGGGATGACTTCTCTAAACACAACCGTTGGCCCCATAGTGTCCCTCGTTTGGAGGTTCCACCATAAGCTTTGTCTAACAGTAGGTGCTGTGTATATATCTTTTGTCTCCGCTGCAGAATAAAACACAATGTATGACTACAATAATTATTTCTTGGCAGCAGGAGGAGCCATTTACACTCGCTGGGGTCGGACAACCTGCCCAGATATCGAAGGAACTGGGCTTGTCTATGCCGGGAGAGCTGGGGCGACTGATCACCGCAGGAAAGGGGGAGCATCCAATTATCTCTGCATGCCAGACGATCCTGACTATAGCCAGTTCGAGGCTGGGACTCAGGGCATAGCTCATGTGACAGGAGTCGAATATTATTTTCGGTCTCTGCCGTCTCTCTCTGAGCGCACTTGGCACAATGCTCCGTGTGCTGTGTGCTACGTCTCAACCAGATGCACGGCACTGATGATTCCTGCCAAGACAATGTGTCCAGACATGTGGACAGTGGAATATAGTGGATTTCTCACGGCAGATAATCTTATTCATGCTGGTCGTGTGACGTACGAGTGTGTTGATAAGGACCCTGAATCCATCCCAGGACTAGATGACAATGGTCGTGCCGACTGGCGAACTCGTGGCGTACTTTCAACTTGTTGAAGCAGTGTGTGACGGGCTTCCTTGCTCCGAATCCGAATATAATCCTGAAAAGGAGCTGACTTGCGTAGTTTGTACCCGCTAAACTGCTTCCTCGTGGACACTACAAACAGAAAAATAATTGTCAGTAGAACTTTAGTGGTTAGTAGTTTGAACTGAGTGATTAGAGCTCCCAGTGTTTTGTTAAGCAGCACTAATTAAGCAACAAATATTGGTATTTCATAACATTTTACAGTAGCACTTCCTGTATATCCCACGTCTAAAGCATAGCATATTGGACCCAAGTAACCTGTTTTTTGAGATGTATATATAAATATCATTGTCAAAATATCCACCAAGAATTGGATTTATCGGCTGATTTCTGTGAGGTATCACTAGTACTAGGAATCCTGTTGTTACTAGAAGAGTCCAAGTGTGTCTGTAGCTGAGTCTGTAGACCCTCTAGTGTCTGCTGCAACTGGAGCATCTGCTGCTCCAGTCGCTGAGTCTGCGTCTGGAGGTGAGATATCTCGAGATTCTGAATGTCTTCCTTTCTCTGGTCCTTCCTAACACTCCGCCAGTACTCATAGACTATGAAGCCTGAAGCCACAGAGAACAGGAAGGCCTCTCCAATAATCTCGCTGCCAATCTCCACTGCTCTCTCCTCACTCAGCGGCTTGTACCTCCCCCTTTCCCTTTATGCCCATCAGTCTCCGTTTCACAAACGTGTCCAGTATGTGGAGAACTGGGGAGAAAAGAACTGCATTGCTGACCTGAGCAAGATTAGTGTTGAGTTACTTTGGGCGGGAGGGACGCAGATATACTTGCTCACGAACGGGTGTCTGGCTGCACTAGACCTCAGTTGAATGGAGATGGGCTTCGCAAGCTGCTTAATGCCCAGGTATGCCAACTTTCCCAGTGGAAACGCCACCATCTTTAGATAGAGTCGCGAAATGATGACGTAACTTTGGGGGTGTGGCCGGCATGGACGACGTGAAGAGACGTTTCGCGGAGTACAAGAGAGTGAGACAGCGGGAGAAACCAGAGCTGAGTGAGCGTCATGTACATACCTCTACAGAGGTAGCGGCTGGACGACAAGCGGAGACTGATCAGGCTTTGCAACACACGACAGATAAAACGTCGGATAGTATATCACGTGACCCATCTCCTCAAGTCACTATCTCTAGCTCTCAGACAGGCCCCGGAGACCCTGTAAACAGTGCATTTAGCCCTCCTCCGCCTCCCCCCTCCTCCTCCCTCTACTTCACTCTGCTGAAGATACTCCTGTGGGTCATATTGTGGGGGTTCTTTGTCGAAGTAGGCTTTGGAGCTGTGTTCTTCGTAACCTCGCTCCTCTATCTGCTGGTGACATCGCTACGAGGCAGCAGACGCAAGCCCTGGGAACCCAGCGCCTACTCCGTCTTCAACAAAAACTTTGAGGCCATAGATGGAACTCTATCAGCCGAACAGTTTGAAAGAGAACTGAGATACGGACCAATGAGCGTGAGAAAATAGCGCCACGATTCATTATTCATCACACCAGTAAAAATGTTTTTATATAATGCACATGTGGTCTGCTCTGAAGGAAAACACAAAGTGAACGGTTTGGTGAACATAATACTATAACAACATGCTTGAGAATGGTATATATGTGCAGTCAATGACAGACGGTGAGTGTTTACTGATGGCTACCTGCGGATCGCGTTAGATTTGGTTGCCTCCAGAGACCTCTTCATGAACTGCTGGAGTGCATTGAGTCGAGCGTCGATCTCTGACATCTCTGCAGAGTGGTCCAGTACACCACCACCTGACAGGGACACACAGAGAGGCTCGTACAGTGCAAAAAGGACCCTCTGGATAAAAGGACACCTCTATAGAGGACACTCGGTTCTGCCTCATACTAAAATAGCCGCCTCAGAAAAAGGACTCTCTGAATGAGGAAAATAGTACACCTATGAAAAAGGACACCAATGTCCCCAACCCAAGTGTCCCTTATTCATAGGTTTCACTGGATAACTGCGACATACTGTTGTTCTATTGCCACTGGGTTTGCCTGCTGAGGTTCTTGTTGGAGTGCTTGTGCGCAGTCTTCCAGAACTGCCTGTCACCCTCTTCCTACAGTCACAATTTAAAGAAACAGAGCTATATAGTATAATAGTTAACGATAATGGATGAAGTTTATTCTAGGGGGCAATGGGACCACATCTCCCAAAAATGGTTTTGTTAGTTCTCAACCAAGCCTTGATATCTTCACCCCCATTTGCTCAGAAGTTGTGTACCAACCAGTATCCCACCTGCCTTGACTACAGATACACACTGACAAACTCCAAAAATATATTTTCCTTGACAAAACTTTTGGAAGCAGTTTGACAGACTATGGTTCTGTGATAGACCACTCTGTGGTTCTTGGTCACCTGTGGTTACTAATGTCCGGTGATCCTCTGCGCCTCCCTCTGCCACTGGTGGGAGGGCTGGGCTCCAGGTCTGAGAGAGACGGTCGACGGCGGACGGACCCACGAGACGATGCTGGACAGGAGCCCCGCGAGGAACAACCGGAGAGACTCCCCACTGCACACACACACACAACACACAACCACAACAAGGAACTCACTCTTACTTTATCTCTTTAGAGCTTACATGATGATGATCTGGTTCTAGCACCTCCAAGTTTTTCTGACGAACCTAATAAAGCAAGTATATACATGTCACCGACACATGGACAGTTAGACTGTTACGTATGTACTCGACATTGCTCTGTCGTGCTACCCTAATACAACTGTAGTTGCGTTCTTAGCTTTTCCTTTGCGTTGCAATCCTACTTGCTTATCCTCATAGATGGTGAAAATGTTGGGCAAAAATTAGAGGTATGCTTGTGTTCACGGCATTCATATTACGGTGAAGGCAGAGCGAGAGTATTGGAAGTGTATATATAGTACGTGTGTAGGTCTTTAGTCACATAACACTATACAATACTGAACTGTGGAGTGGTTCTTCTCACCCCACAACCTCCTGGAGCCAGCTCTGAGTCCTCCCAGTGGAGGTCTCCCCAAACTCCCCCCACTACCCGATCGACTGCGGAGACCAACGGGTTTCTCCAGGGAACTGGAGCGAGAGTGTGTCCCCGTGCCGTGGTAGGAGGGAGACCTCAACCTCCTGTGGGGGGAGGGAGGAAGAGGTAGTGACATGGTGACAGTAAGGATTGAAGAGAGGCGGAAAAGAAGGGAGAGTGTTTGAGCGTGAAGCTAACTGGAATCTCTCCTGGTTTTCCTTCTGCTGTCTTCTCTTGCTCTCCACGTAGGCCGAGGGATCAAACCTCATCCAGAGATCACTACCCACACCTGTACCAGTTGCCAACTTCTAGAACACTGACACAATGGATGATACTCAACACACACATACACTACAGGCACAATCTTTCTGCATTGAAAATCACACTGAGTAGTAAGATATGAAATTACTTTCATACTACGTAGAATAATAGAGACATGGTTCTACAATCGCACGTATACCTCTTGGGGAAGGTGTCCTCAGTCTGCTATTGGAGACTCCCAGTGCCAGCCTCCTCTCGTGGGACCCTGACCTCCCTCTCTCCCTCTCCAGTGACCCACTATTGCCCCCTCTTCTCCTCTCACCTCTCTTCCTCTCCAACGATCCACTATTACTCCTCCCTATCCTCCTCTCCAGAGAGCCAGAGGTCTTAAAGGTGGAGGAGTTCCTCTGTCGTGTCTATGTCTACTGTCTACTGCCAGAGGCAGCAGTAGACGATGAGGGAGTCTTCTTGAAAACGGAGGAGGAAGAGGAGGGAGGTGTGTGTCTTGGTTGGAGGTAGCTCGACGGAGAAGAACGCATCCTGGAGTGGAGAAAAGCAGCACGAGGTAATATGACGCGTGCTCTGTTTGACACAACCAGAGAGTTGAAGTATATATGTAGTGTGTGCAATCTACAGTGGCAAATGTTGCGCTGCTCCTACAGCTTAAACACTGACAGAGGGATGCTTGCTGCATTGCGCAATAATATGCAATAATCTGTATAGAGCCATATACACTGTTCACCCTTTCCTTAGTAGAGCCAGTTCGTTGGTGAGGTTCCTGACTCTGGAGCGGAGAGTCCTCTCGGAAGACCTCAGTTCTCCCAACTGAGCACCGGGAACAAGAGGTAAGTGTATATATAGTGCTTCGGACTTAGGTGACACTTGTGGGATCTCTCGTGAGAGCTGGCAGAGTGT